AAGACAAATATATTACATAACTTACCTCACATACGTAGAACATAAACACAAAATTATTAATCTAAATTGAGAGCGGTGGTGTAAATTTAGGTGTCTCGATACGCCCTTCATAACGGACAAAATGTATGGGAAATGGTGATTGAAATACCACACGTTTTATGTCAGTTTCGGTATGTTTTGCACTCTAGACACTGAGCGTATATGTGATCGCAACGAAAACAATTGCATGTCACACTCCGAGGAAAGTAGTCTACCGGTACATCTTGGCCTTATATACATATGTATATAATATATATATGTGTGTGTGTGTGTGTGAGGGTGTGTGTGTGTGTGTGTGGTGTGTACTCTATCTAAAGCTCGTCCGCTGAAAGACCGAAAGGTCGTAATAGTGACCGTAAAACCCGTTAAAATAAAAAATAAAAAATAAAAAGATAATACTATATAAGTGTGTAGGTATAGATAATAGGTGAACTGTACTCACAGGTACTCAGGATATCGGTCAGATATATCTCGCGCCGTCATATTACGTTACCAAACGGCATATATGGTATGTGAGGGAGCTGTCCTAATTGGTTGGTTGAGTGAGTAAGAATATGCGCGCATACTAAATATTTATCCATACCCTGCACATTACTCACCTAATATTATTCAGGACACGAAATCGGACAGAAATTAAAAAAAAAAAAAAATAAAACGAAGCCTGATCGTGCGGTGAGATTATATTATTCTTCTGCATATTCTGCATATTTTGTTATTACGTTTAATATTCTCATCGTGTACATAATAAAATGTTTAAGTTGATCACAGGGGTTATCATGCATTGATCTGTAAACAGTCTGAAACCTTGCAATCTTTTAACGAATACGGTAATTGCAGATATGCAAGTTAAAAGTATGTTAACAGCCAGAATTATTCAAACTTAAAAGCCATGGGTTTGAACAAACAAATTAGGATTTCAAATTATGTTTTTTGTTGTTGTTTATCTATCATCCTCAGCTGACAATAATAGCTACATTAGTAAATAATTCTAGATATTTGCTTTGGATTATTGACGCGTTCTCCATTTATGTAACACTATTCACAATTAATCCAGATAGAAAAAAGTTGAATGTATACCTATTAAATTAGCATATTCTCATAATAAAGCACATTTCCATTGTAAATTCCCCCCTGAACCGTCAAATTAGGTGTTTTACGTAATTTAAACTTACATCTGCATGTTTGTTTTTTAATGTTAACATTTAAAAGTATTGAAATATTCATTAAAGTTTGTGATGTCGTCTTGAAGTCAATATGTAGAGCATACAATATTATACAACGTTTTGTTTCCAGAAATGGACACATGCTTTGTAGGTACGATTATACTTACCTTAAACATGTTCTTTATTAGTATTGTACAAAGAATACACAAGTTAACAGCAAATTTCGACACAAATTAAGAACTGGATATAGTATAGTTGCAAATTGCACAAAACTGCATTATACTGCTACATCAGCAAAATTCAGGGTAAACATGTATATATATATATATATATATATATATATATGTGTGTGTATGTATATATATATATATATATAGAAAAAACTTGATTTGACGAGATGCGAGTAAATTATAAATAAAAATGATTTTTGACAAAAGAAGAAAGACGTTACATTTTGCAACGTAACGTCTTTTTTCTTTTGTCAAAAATCATTTATATATATATATATATATGTGTGTGTGTGTGTGTGTGTGTGTATATATATATATATATATTAGTTATATATAATGAGTTCAAGAAGGACGAAACAGTCAGGATGCTTACCAAAATAATTAACACTTAATCAACCACTATCAATGCATGATACTTTCTCAATATTTTGGACCAAAATAATGAAAAATGTGCATTTGTGATGTTTGTAAGGCGTTGACAAAATCTGGCATAAGAGTTTTCTTTATAAAATGAAATCATATCGTATATATGGTAAATTATTATAAAGGGTTGAACACTCTTCAGCAGAGGGTTTTTATAAAACACTTGACAAGTTTAAGGCCCCAGTCCTCTCCTTGGACCTTTTTGTCTCCTTAATCTATATCAATGACATAACTAAGGATGTAAATAGAAATTTAAACGTTTTGCAAATGATAATTTCTTAGATGAACTAAAATTGTATTACATCATAGTTAACAAGTGATCTGACTGTTATACATACATAGGCAAAACATGGGTAATACAAGGGACATATGATGTGATCAAACTAAAACGGGATTTACAGTTTTACAAGAAAATGGGAACCCGGACATCCACACATCTTGGTAATGATATAGACATTTTAATAAAAAATCCTAAACACCTTTGCTTAACATCTATTAACGACGGTAGGTTGACTCACCATATTGCTAATATTACAGAAAAAGCGTAAAAAAGATATACAGAAATCGTTGCAAAAATAAAAGACAAGATAAATTTCCTGAATACCTGACAAATATTTTAGACTCCGTGTACGATTATGTTAATGCCACATGCCCAATAAGAAATGATCTGATTTTCAACCCCCATTGTGTAAAACCGCAATTTACCCAAAACAGATTCTCTCCATGAACTTGTCAAGCTCTCAATATTCTTTTATCTAACATTACGAATGTCAGACCTGTCGTACCTTAAAACCAAGGACTAAAGATGACTGAAAAATATTAGAAAAGTGACAATTGTAACGATTCTTAGTCACATAGGTCTATGAACCAGTGTTTTTTCAACTGAATGCCGATTTACGTTTCAAAATGTGGAAATCGAAGAACTCTCTTTTCTAGAGTAAATATCCACGTCATTCCTATACACAAATACCGTTTATTTGCTTTTGCTTGTATCCATATAATATAGACTAGGATAGCAATTGCATATAAGTTTCATGTTTCAATAACTTTTACTTGTTATATTACAGAATGGGGTATACATATTCATACTGGGTATTTAATGTAGCCACATGGAATGCAGATGTAAACTATATCGTCGAAGCTGTCGTAATTGTGTGTAATTGATTATGACTTACATATATATCAATATGTGATTTCGAAAAAAAATAATAGAAAAATGTAACCTGGATCAGTGACTTAATTTTTTCTTATTTCAGTTCAGTTTAGTTTCTATATCTGGTACTAGGACCTATTACCTTTATCTGGATTGTCCTCAGGGACGTTATCATTTCGAATAAGAGTGGCCTCGTTAGACAGGTTTTTCCTGTATGTCACATGTATTTGACCTATTTTGTAGTTTGCCTGTATTGTTTGGGATAACTTTGGAGTCAGTTTAGTTTGACGTAATCACTGTAATTCCTTTAATAACTGGTGTAAGAAAAGGAACTTTCCATAGTATAGAATATCAAAGAGAAAGGTTGTACAACTTTACAAATTGGGAGGGGGAAAAAGCATATCTATTTCTATAACATAAAACATCAAATTACTCTAAAAAATCTTAATATTTCACAATATTTCATATTAAACCTTACCCGCCCTAAAATTGCCATTATCCCTATGTGTAAACTACAATATCACTAGGGTTAGAACTACAATATCATTTGGGTTAGAACTACAATATCCCTAGGGTTAGAAGTAAATCATATGACAATAAGTACTTTCCAAAAATGCTGAATATATTTGGAGTACTTGTAACGTTTTAATGAATATAACAAACCTAAATACTCCTAAAAAGGAATTAGAATATAAAGTCGTCAGAGATCGAGGAGAAAACATACGTGCATTTGTATACATTTGAATTGAGCATTAAAGGGAATATTAATACATTAATGAGTCAATTGAGAAATGTTGCTAGTCAGTTTAATAAGGATCTATATAAAGATGGCTTAAGAACTCCATCACATTGTCTGTGTGGTAATGCGCCTGAAAACTCATACCATTTCTTTTTTAATGTCTATCCTTAAAAAAAAGGCTGGTGTAGGATTTACCAAATTTGATATCGACTTCAAAAGTTTTAGATGTATATTGTGGCAATACTAATTTCTAGAATATGTATTTAATGGAGCGTTCATTCATTAATGCTAAGAGAAGATCCCGGTAGATAATTCAAAATGTTACATATAGTTAACGAGATTATTATCCATTTGTTATCCACTAAATAAATGTGATGTTCCTTCTACAACATATGTTGATATATTTTAATATTGTGCATAAACCAGAGTCAAATAATACCTGGAAACCACGTGCAGAGACTTCATATGGTCATTTATTGGTGTGATTTTGACGTATATGCAAATTAATGATAATGCTATATATTCCATAATCAATCGATTGCTATGTTCAAATGAATAGAAATATCACAAACATGATGTTGGTGTAATAAGGGTATTGGTTTATGTTTAACATCACTTACTCAATTAAGGACACGTAAATTAACTTAGGATTTTTTTTTTTTCAAATTTGCTTTGAAATTATGCCATGCCGTCAGAAAGGGATATATTCATATCTTTAAGACATAAACAAATTTATCACATGATATGTTGATTCTATTGTTTATTTATTACATTCTAAAGATACTGATTTGTAGCATATTCAATATCATACCCATCCTTCATACTATGTTATTGGTTCAAAATTTATTCTAATCCCAAAATACTGAATTGTTTTAGATTTTCTTTATACAATTATGTTTAAATTTGTTTTCTTCCTTGGCATAAAGCTATATGAACCTATGGTTTCTTACACATTAATTTGTCAGTTTACTTTATTCAGTATTTTAAAATTTGATTTACGTAGAAATTACGGGATTCTTCAGTGTCAAGGTATAAGTGTGTTCTCACTTCAACTTGTATTATATATATGTTTTAAATTCATTGAAATATTTGATGTTGTACTGGAGGTCTTGGCGAGAGCTTATATAGGCTTTGTGCATGTTCCCAGTCCTATCGATTGCCTAAGCAATGAAATGTATTTGGAAATAATATTAGGTATGAAGGAGTGCAAGTACCGAGGTATCATATAACCTCGAATGTTGAATATAATATATCTATAGACGAATATCAAAAATATTGTCAGGACACTCCACGTACGCTGTCTGGGCTACGAGAGCGTATAGTCGAACTAAGTCAGTGTTTTGTTCTATATAAAACACGTCGCTGGCTCGTTCTGCTACAGTAAACGCAGTTTCAAGGTCAGCCGATCGACCGACTGTTACAAACGCCACTGTCACATTGTTCATACTCAAACTCTCTCGCTGTTGTACGATTTCGTCACGGTCTGACCAACCCTCATTAGAGAACATCACCAAAATTTTTCGTGCATCTGAACGGCTACCAGTAAAACCAGACTCGCGAGCAAACTCAAGTGCAGCACTGACGTTAGAATTCCGGTTTGTTGATGACAGACCTATTTGACTGTTAAGAAGTATCGCATCTCTATCTGTATATTGATTCAGAGAAAATTTGAACTGGGTTGTGAGATCAAATGTTGCCATTCCAACATACGTGTTAGAGTTATATTCAGTTGCCTTGTACAGCAAATCCTTCACTGTATCCAGCGTCTGTTGTAGCAACATCTGATGTTTTGAAACATCTACCAAAAATAGAATATCTACCATGGTGTGAAGGGCACAATCTGAAAAGAAGAAAATACTAAATAGACATGTAGTCAACTGACGACTTTGGAAATCGGTCATATACTGAGTTTTTTCCATGAACGGCAGTCCCGTTTCAGCTTAACCAACACCATGATTAAAAAAGTGACATTTCGTTTTACCTGTACAGTTAGAGCTGACGGTTTCCATGAATATTACGTCGGCAACATTATCTTCCTTGCCACATGGAAAGACATATTGCGAAGCAGTAGCTAACTGCAATAATTCCGTTTGATCAACTTGCTCCCCATTTCCAATAGCAAGAATTTTAACTCCCTGACTTCGCAAAACTTGAGCGTCGTATACGGCTTCTGTCCTCAGTGTAGAGAGTCCGTCTGAGATTATGATGGTATACTGCAAAACCTGAGACCTGGCGCCAAATGTAGATGACGAAGAAAAAATCTGAAATATTAATAAATGTTATTTAAGTCAATTGGAACTCTGAAATTAGTTATTCGAAGGAATTTATGCAGACGCATTCATTTATTACATGCGACACCTGAAGTACGTAATGTCACATGAATGTCGAGGAATTGAAAAAAGCAGTATTAGGTTTCAGGCAGCGTAACTCTTGATTTCTACGGAACACCATTTGCATTGTCTGATACATGACTCTGATCCGTGGGCAGGGATATCTCAAGCCGAGTGTAAGAGTGAGGCTACTCAGCAGCAAGAGACTTATCGATTCGTGCTCAGGCAAAATCTGACATGATTGTTGAGACATCCCTGTCTACAGACTATATTTTGATATTTTTCTGAAGTACCTACAAATAAGATCATAACATATCGGAAATTATTGCGGTAAACCGTGTACAAATTGCCCATTAAATGGGAGGGTATCTTATCGCGGCATAATTACACTACAATGAAATACATCACAGGATCCCTTCTTCGAGTGGCATCAAAGCCTGCACCAGCAGTCCTTCCTCATTCCATGTGAAATTCATCGTTAACCATATAGAAGGTATGGTGGAATTGGAAGCGCATTTCAGTCACACTCGCGACTTACCCGAGGTACTACATTCAAATTCCGTACCTACATATAACTAGCTAAATATTGTCCTCACCTCTCATAGTAATATCTAGTGAAAATAATACTGATATCGTTGAATAATGCAAAACTTCCAAATAACACATAAATAAGGTCATATTTTGGAGCAAAAACATTTCAATATACCAAACACAATCATGTAAGAACCCCTATGTAATGAATGGTTACTGGTATACGTGTTTTGCATACAGCAGGGGACTACCAGAACATATTCCTACCTCCTTTGCCTTGTCCAATGCTTTGTCGAGATAAGAAGGTCCCGCAATGGCGGTTATGTTGTCTATAGCGGCTATCATAGCTGTTTTGTTGGTGTAGGTATTGAAAGAAAATTCCACACTGACATCAAAGGAATATTTCAAGATGGCTACTTGGAAATCATCGATTCCTATCGATAATTTGTTAACAATCGACGTGACAATTGCTTTGGAATCGCTGAACTGCTTTTCAGCCCTAAACGAGGCATCCATTATGAAAAGAATATCAGCTGGCCCCGGTCTACAATCTGTAATTTTTTATTGTAAGTATGGCATATAATTTTGACTGACTTATTCGGTTAAAGCACAAATAAGATGAAAACAGACCAATTTATTTATTTTTTACTTTCATAATTACTGAGATGCATTGGTATACAAACCTCAAACATTCCTACATCCATTACTTCGAAATTATGAGGGTTTTTTTTATATATTATTTCACTTTTCAATTTGTCTCTTGTATCTTGCTATTTTACAGTTATTGCAATAATTTTTGCCCGATATGAGAATTTATGGAGTTCAAAAAGAAATACTCCACAAATTCTCTATGAAACCATCTATCTCATATTTTACAAGCTTCTCCCTTGTTAAAAAATATACCGTTCGCATCTACAATGTTTTATGGACACTGAGGATAGCAAACGTATATGAAAAAACAGATCATATTGATACATCTGCTATGATTTTTCACATCCATACTTTAAGGGTATACTATTTGAGAATCATTCAAATGACACAAAAGTGAACTATATACCTAGATGTAAAACCCAGAAAGGAAAGAAATATTGATAATTATTGAATAAGATTCCATCAGGCGACAGTTTCATCGGCCAGGAAACGTGGGTAATACCATGACCATAATGGTGTTAAAACCCAGGAAGCGGTTGAGGAAAAATAAAATCAGTTTGAATTAATAAATTCAATCAAAAATCGTATAACTAAGGTGTACAATATCCTACTCATTCTTACACGTGAAATGTATGTTATTACAATTAATTTGTTTTAATAGATGTCACAACCCAAGCACATTAAGATGGGAAATAAACCTTTTACCTGTTTCGCAGACAGTTCCAATGTATCTGTTAGTACAGGAGCAGTCGTAATTAGAGGCGACCCTATTGCACATCCCACCATTTAAGCAAGGGTCACTCAAGCAGGAGTCATCTAGTGATTAAAACATTGAAATCACATTCATTATTTTAATTAAAAGAAATTGTCTCTTACTAAATGGTATTATATTGTTTACATTGCGAAAAACACAGCTCATATTTAAAGATAATTGATTTTCCCATGCTTACTTTGTCATTAATTCAAATATCCATCAATTAATTCACTTTGAATACAGATCACGTGACTCCTATTCATCCATAAAATCGAACCCATGAGAATGTATGTCTAAACATGGAAACGATGTGAAAATGTATCATGATTGATTATAGATTTTCGACGTATAGACCGTATGTTTCCTCAAATTAATAGGCACAAATGAAGACGTTTGTTATTACAGATGATGATATTCATATCACAAACAGCGGGAACTTTTTATGGAGTGGAAGGATATACATCTTGGAAAACAATGTAACTTATCTGTCAGATACCATAGTAGCTCATTATCATTATTTACTTTCTTATTGTAAAAATGTCGGGCATTTGTTTGTGATAAATGCATAGTGCCAACATTGATACTTCGTTTTAATTATGTCATTCAGACATTTGAATCTTGTCAAAAATGTGGGATATTCTTAATTTCCAACGGGAAGTAACTCTTGTAAACAATTTTGTCAACATATGTAATACTCCGTTTTGTAACTTCATCTGTGTATGTTCAAATGCTACGTTCTTCATTACATCATACCTTGTGAAAACAAGTTTCATTTCTTATCTAGCTAGAAGAAATTTATTATTATTCGCAAATAATAGAACTAGATAAGTTGTACATTTTTATTTCTAAAGTTTTGTTTAATATCAATTTCATATAAATCATACAATTAGGAGTTATGACTTTATCCGATTTCTCCGAAAATAAGTTGACCAAATATAAATATGAAATAAAGTTGAAAAAAAAAAAAAAAAAAAAAAAAAAAAAAAAAAAAAAAAAAAAAAAAAAAAACAAAAAAAAAAAAAAAAAAAAAAAAAAAAAAAAAAACAAACAAAAACAAAAAACAAAAAAAAAAGAACAACAACAAAAAAAACCAAAAAAAAAACCTTTTTATTTAACTAGCTCTAAATAGCACTTGTAGACATTAATTTCATGTTATGCGCATTTGACAACTTCTGATTTTAGTGAGCTTCAATGCAGAAGTGAAAGATATTGTTTGATATACACCAGATATTAAATAATGTCTTTAACGTTAAAATGCTTCCTCTCCCATATATAAGGGATTAGGACAAGAATGACCGCAACATGCTCTCTAACGTTCGTTTAAGTAAGGAAACCAAAATGATCACAATGTACTATTATCACTAGATAATACCACTAGATCAGAACCAAAGATAAAAATGTCTCTAGAGTAATTAATAGACATATCCCGGTCGTTCCTCTATTTTTGATTTTACGAAACGATTTTGTTAACTCGTCGATATATTCTAAGTTGTGTTTGATTACTTACCGTATTCACACACGGTACCATAATACTCATTTGTACACGAACACCTGAAATTCCAGCCTCCGGTGTTAATGCATGTACCTCCATTTTCACATGGCGAACTATAGCAAGGATTCTCTGAAGTGAAAAAAAATCAATAAATATTTTTGAATATTTATCAGAATATTATGGAAGTAATGCGATGGAAGAATTTTGCAAAGTTTTGCATATGATTGTATGTATTAAGACAAACTAACATACTTTGAATAAGTTGTCATAAGTAAATGGAATCCTTCGATCAAATTTTAGAATAGAGGAAGCGCATTCTCAATAATTCGAACAATTCGTGTAATCTAAATATATGACAGTTTAAAAGGATATCAAATGCAATAAATAGAAACAAAAACAACTACTGTATAGCTAAGGCTAATGGCAATCATCAAACCATCAATGACAAACCATATGGTTTAATCCGTACTTTAGGGTGACAGTAGCACTGGATTGTTCAAATGACACTCAAGTGAATATTACTTCATAACTTCAATAAAACATAAGTACTAAAGACAAATCATGAATCAAATTCCACAAGGCAACAAGTTCAGCGTCTAGGACTCGTCCTTGATTCAAGGGACAAATTTCGGGTTATAGTTGTATAAACCTAGGAGTTACATTGTACATGTGACTGTGACCCTCAGAACATGTTAAAATTGAGGTCAAAATCTAAATCAAAGATGCATGATGTTCGTCACATTCGTGTCATATGCCAAGCATATTTGTATAAGTAGATAAACACCAAAGACCGAAGAATAGTCAAATGCTGAGAACGTGATGAAACACATCACTGTTATTCGAATTAGTCTCTTCAGAAAGAGATAGTTTACCTGTTTCACAATTAGTTCCGATGTATGTGTTTGTACAGGAGCAGTCGTAATCAGAGGCGACCCTGTTGCACGTACCACCATTTGAGCAAGGGTCACTTACGCAAGAGTCGTCTTAAAATTAAAAAGAAAGAAATAACACTCATACTATTAATAAATGGAACTTCTCTCCTAACAAAGGGGATGATATTGTTTTACGTTTTAATTAAGACTACTGTTCTTTTAGTATCATGAATTATCCTGTGTCTCATGTTTCCGTGATTCTGATATTAAACAATCAGTTGGTTTTGCATATCAGATATAACGGATAAAGTGATTTCTATTCATCCAGGAGATTTTACCTATATAAATCTATGAAAATAAAACGAAATTTAAACAAATGAAAATGTATGATGATTAGGTATTCCTATTATCATCACTAATAACCTCTATCGTGAGAAATGTATCGCGTGGTACAATACACCTCATGGAAGTCAATCATATATCATCTTTATGCAATGTTTACATCGATAGAAAATGTTGCAGTTTTTCAAATTTTCTGGAAATATATCTTGTCACACAGAAGAGTATTTAAAGAACAAAGAAAAAATCACATGTCAACAGAATCTCAATTCGAAATCAAAATAGATAAAACTAGCGTAAATATCACCAAAGAAAGCATGCCGACCAAACAACTGAACGGAAAATAAAATAAGATGTTCTGCAAAATATATGTTTTCTGTTCCAGTGACGACACTCACTGAGCGCAATCCTGGTGTTTCACAGTAAGTAATGGCACGTTCACAAATTAATACAAAGTTGATAAACAACGAAACCCCAAGGGACTAATTTAATAACTGAACAACAATAATTGATCAAGATTTATATGACATGGCCGTCGTTTCACTGATTCTTAGATCGAGTAACGATTTTCTTAACTTGTCGATATGTTCTAGTTGTGTTTGATAACTTACCGTATTCACATACGGTACCATAATACTCATTTGTACACGAACACCTGAAATTCCAGCCTCCGGTGTTAATGCATGTACCTCCATTTTCACATGGCGAACTATAGCAAGGATTCTCTGAAGTGGAAAAAGAATAATATTTGAAATATTTTTTTAATAATATTGAAGTGATGGTATATAAGGAATATTCTCAAAGTATTATATACGATACAAACCAATATGATGAAATAGCATATATTTAGAAACGATGTCGATGTTCTTCAAAACTGCAATATACATCGTTAGGCAAAAATGAATGACCACATTGAAATTTTAGAAATAAATGGGTGAGAGGTAAACCTAACATGCACTTCTACACACTAGTTCAGGGTAAGATTTACACGATAACAAAGTCATAAATAAAGACTTTTGAGAAGATTAACATAGAGGAGAATAAACATTTACTCCAAAGATAATTATGTCAATCCGTTAAATGTAAATATAAGATGACATTAAAAGAACATCACATGCTTTAAATAAAAATAAATATTTTCTGTATAGCTAATGTGAAGATCGGCGATAAAACTTATTAAAGAAAAACTAATATGACAAAAGAGATCATATGCTTTAATCTGTACTTGAGGGTTACAGTATTACGGAATTAAATCAATGACTCGCATGTAAATAGTGCTTTACAACTTCAATACAAAATAAGTACTAAATACAAATCATGAATCAAATTCAACTAAGAAACAAGTTCAGAGCCAAGGACTCGCCATTGATTCAAGGGGCATATCTACAACCTAGGAGTTACATTGTACTTGGGACCGTGAATCGCTTTCAAATTTAAGGTCAAAATCTAAATAAAAAATCGCACGATGTTATTTACATTCGCATCATATACCAAGCACATGTGTGTCAGTAGATAAACACCAAAGCCCGCCCGGAGAATTGTCAAATACTGAGAACCTGATGGTACATGACATTGTGATTCGAATTAGGTTCTTTAGAAAGAGATATTTTACCTGTTTCACAATTAGTTCCGATGTATGTGTTTGTACAGGAGCAGTCGTAATCAGAGTCAACCCTGTTGCACGTTCCACCATTTGAGCAAGGGTCACTCAAGCAAGAGTCGTCTTATAATTAAAAAGAAAGAAATCACACTCATAATATTAATTAATGGAACTTTTATCCTAACGAAGGGAATACCATGGTTTAACGTTATAATTAAGACTACCGTTTTTTTTTAAATATCATTGACTATTGCCTCTCTTGAGTTTCCTTGATTCAGATATCCATCAATCAGTTGGTTTTGAATATCAAGTATTATAGATAACGTGATTTATATTCATCCATGAGAGTTTACATATGGGAATCTGTCACAATAAAACGAAATTTAAACAAATAAAATGTATGCTGATCATTCATAGAACTACCTCTTATTGACTGTAATTAATCTCATACAAACAAGCAGACATGCAGATATATATATAACTATATGTGTTCACATCATCATCACTAATATCATGTATCTTAAGTAGTGCATCTAGTGGTACAATTCACCTTATGGAAGTCAATTATATATCATCATTGCGCAATGTTTAACTTGATAGAAAAAATATTGCGGTTAGTTTTTCCAAATGTTCTGGAAATCGGTCTTGTCACATAAAAGAGTATTGTAACAACTAAGGAAAACCCACATGTCAACTGAATCTAAATTCAAAATTAAATAAGATAAAACTAGCTTAAATATAACCAAGGAAAGCATGCCG